CGACGCTATGTATTCTGAGTTCCTGCCAACGTCGTTAAACTAGCTAGAAACAAACAAACAAACAAATATAGTTCACGCCACTTTTGTCTATCCTGCCGCTTCCTCTCCTTCCTCACTTAAGCTCTGAAGAAGGAGGCAATATGTTCCTTCGAAACTTCGGTTCCGACCTACCAGAATGTGTCTTTACCAAGAGACCATAATCTTAATCTCCATTTGAGACCCTGATAACGGAAGTATATGTTCCTCCGAAACACTGACATGAACCAACAAAATTACAGTAGTATATCATAAACCTGTAGGTCATAATACAATTCATTTTCTAGCTTGAGAATGGAGGCAGTATGTTCCTCCGAAATACTGGTACCTACTCACATTACAGCACTGCCATAACCGAGGTCACAATATGAATCTCGATTTCATATCCTGAAGATGGAGGCAATATTTTCCTCCGAAACATTGGTACCTATTCACATTACAGGACTGCCATAACCGAGCTCACAATATGAATATATATTTTATATCCTGAAGATGGAAGCAATATGTTCCTCCGAAATACTGGTACCGATCTACCACACTACAGCACAATGCCATACTCCAGATCATGATATTAATCTCCATTTTATATCCCGAAGAAGGAGACAACATGTTCCTCCGAAACACTGGTACCGACCTACCACACTACAGCACCTTGCCACAACCGAGATCATGATATGAATCTCCATTTTACATCCTGAGGATGGAGGCAATATTTTCCTTCGAAACACTGGTACTGACCTACCGGACTACAGCACCCAGAAGCCCACAGCGTGAATTTGTTCTGTAGTTTCCTTTCTCTCCTCCCCATTTCCGCTTCAGCATCTTCCGTTTTCTAAACAGTTGATTCGCAGACATTTGATATTTTCTGCCCTGCTGTGTTTCATTTGGGCGAGACCCCATTCACATATACCGTAACTGCGCCCTCTACCATTTCTGCAATTTCATGTTTTCCAAGTCTCACTTTATATTGCAGCTCATTTGCCTCTCGTCTGCCTCGGTCTCTCCTATTCTTCGTTCACTCTTCCTCCGTCGAGACCAGTTTTCAAATTAAAGGATCACAGTGTGAAACCTGGTCTCGCGTATCAAACGAACAGCAGAAACTGCGGGTGATTGTGAGCACAGCACTGAGGGGGAATATTTGGGGTGAGTGCACAAAGAAGGGGTGCGAGTTTGTGCTTCTGGTCATTATCCGTCGTCCTGTTTTCATGAGAATGAATTTTGTCTCAATCTTCGGGTGGAACCTATTCAGTTGGTCCTTATCTCCGGACACCACCAGAGTCAGAGTCATTTTACGACTGACTGTTTACAGCCAGTCAGTTCGTCTTGGCGACAAGCCCTTTGAGACTCATGACCAATATAATTTTATTTCCCAACTGGACATTTGGGGTTATAGCTCTTATGTAACATCTTCTCTGATAAGAGGATGGGTCCGTCGTCACATTTGCTGCTGGTCCTCGCCAGCGCAGTCATTATCAGGTCTTCATGACCACATTTTACTGTCTCAGATTTGAGACTCCCCCAACCTGGAGGGCCAGGTCACCGTATTCTTATCCCCAGCAAGAGGGTGGCCCAGTTATACCCCTAGGTACTGGGTTCCCTTTTCGTCGCCGACTACGACTCGCACGGCTATGAGATATTCGAAGCGGTCTCCTTGAGCCGGCCTCAGTTCCTCGTTATATAGCCCCGGGGTGAACCCAACAGAAAATATCGTCTCTCAACAGTATTTCCACTGTTTGGCGTTGTCGCGGAAAAGTGTTCACCAAACCGTTGCCTAACAATGAACGTCTACTCTTATTATACTATTCCGACTTTCAGGCAATGCTGTCTTTAATTAAAATAAAACATGCCGACGGCATAAAACTTTGATCTTATATCGAACGAACTTAACGCAGTCACACCCTATGGACTTACTTCAGTAATTGTCTTCAGGAAAGGAAAAAAATGATAATATAATGTGGATATACAGAGCCGTTCTTAATTATTCTATAAATCTATGAAATACGACACATTATTTATGAGTTCTGCTGGCTAAACAAAAAAACCTCCGCGACTTCAGTCCGCAAGCGAACTATACCGACCGAGCGACCGCCGCTTGTCGGCGAAGTTAGTGCCAACTTTTGCGGATATAGGGTGTCACGTGGTCAGCGCAACGAATCCTCACGGCCGTTAATTTCGATTTTCTAAACCGGAGCCGCTATTTCCTTGGAATAGCTCCTCAATTATCATCGCGAGGCTGAGTGGACCCCGTTCCAGACTCACTTCTCAGAATATGTGGTAGCGCAAAGAATCGAACCCGGGACCTCTGGATCTGTAGCCAGGAACTCTGACCACTAGACCACAGAGGCAGCTTGCTGGCTAATCTATTTTAATTAAACACAGAACATCTACTTTTTTGTCATATTTGTTATGGGAACATACCGTATCAACAATAATTTTAGAGTTCAAATATGCGCCACATTTAAGTATATTTATTCGTAGGTGTTGAGGAAGTACAGCAAGGAGACCGCTGCAGCAGTGTCAGTGTGAAACGGCACGCGTGAACTGCACACTTCACGTTACTCTATACTCAGTTATACGTTCCAGTGAATCTGTCGCTTTTGTTTTGTTCCGACTCCGAGAACACGAAGCGACAGGGAAAGTGTGGTGTTGACAGCCTATCTGTTACATTTCGAAACAAACTTGGATTTCTGTGGCGTCCGGCTGCAAAATAATGCTGCTATTCCGTCATATACTGTCAGTATGCAACCGGGGGAATTCCTACCATTTGTTACATAAGCTTTCACGCTATTAACTTCCACTGATATCTCCCCTATTCCTGTCCCTTCCTACACGACAAGTTGTGGCCGACACTTAAAGCTATCTCCCATGAATCGAAAGAAATATCAACTGGAGACAATCTCCTCTACACAACACTCCACATAAGATAAAAATATTGTCACGTGTCCGGTATTCCGTGGACAATGATAATGGGTTCAAAGTCAAAGTTATTTTATGACTGGCGGTTTACCGCCAATCAATTCGTTTTGGCGTTAGCCCCCCTTGAGGCCCACGACCACAATTTTTGTCCAGCTGAACTCTTGCGGTAATAATCTTTATGTAACATCCTCTCTAACGAGATGTGTTTGTCTCGTATGAACACACTTGGCCTTTCGTCGAGTGTAATAACGGGTTTTGGATTGGATGATTGGATTTATTGACACCTTATACAACGACGCAGAACAGAAAACACAGCTCCTCTATTGTTGAAGATCCGCGTTATCATGCAGTTGTCTGGCAAAGAATCTCGGCACGGACCACATAGAAGACATGTTTCATTCGCGTATTGTTGCAGCCGCGTGTTTATTGGTCCGATACGCAGCAATGGATATCCTTTATTGTCGCGTATGCATTACCCAGCAACTGTTGTTTACCAAGAATCTGTCTCCGCAGGAACGTGTTTATCGAGCCGCTTCCTAGCAGTGGGTCAATACGTCACAGTAATATTAGTACTCATAGATGAGATAGGTTACGTTGGCGTAAGAGACGTCTCGCTTGTTCGTGACCTACTACGCAGCGTGTTGGTGCTCAACAGCTCCTTGCTACGGCACCGCGACACTGCGTAATGTCAATCAAAAATCGTTTATGTACGGTATATACAGAAGTACATAAAGAATATTGGGGCAGAACTGATTGGAACCAAATATACGTTGTATAGGAGTCTGGTTCAGGAGAGTGACCAGTGGAGGCACAGACTCTCTGACCTACCACAATTTGCCCGAGTGAAATACCTACGAACGACTAGGAAACGTAACACGCTGAACAGTTGATATGTTGGACATGATATTAACATGATAGAATAAATGACGTTAGTAAGGAGGTTGGTCTAGAAATATATGCAGAGAAAACTAAGTATATGTTGCCGTCTCGTCACCAAAATTCAGGGCAAAATCATGACGTAAAGATAAAAAACAGCTGTTTTGAAAAGTGGCACAGTTCAGATATTTGGGATCGGCGATAATAAATCAGAACCTGAGGATATTGACCTCGGGTAACGCTTGCTACCATTCAGTTCAGAACCTTTTGTCTTCTCGTCTGCTGTCCAAGAGCATAAAAGTCACAATATACAAAATTATAATTTTGCATATGGTTCTGTACGGGTGTGAAACTTGGTCTCTGACATTAAGGGAAGAACATAGACAGAGGGTGTTCGGGAACAGAGTGTTAAGGAGAATATTTGGACCGAAGAGAGATGAAGTGACAGGAGGCTGGAGAAAACTGCATAATGAGGAGCTTCATAACTTGTACTCTTCTCCAAGTAAAATTAGAATGATCAAGTCAAGGAGGATGAGATGGGCAGGGCATGTAACACGAATGGGGGAGAAGATGAATGAATATAGGATATTGGTGGGAAATCCAGAAGGAAAGAGACCACTAGGAAGACCAAGACGTAAGTGGGTGGATAATATTAAAATGGATTTTTAGAGAGATTGGATGGGATGTTACGGACTGGATCGATCTGGCCCAGGATAGGGAGCAATGGAGGGCCTTGTGACCACGGTAATGAACCCTCGGGTTCCATAAAATAGTGTGAAATTCTGGAGCAGCTACGCAACTGGCTGCCCTTCAAGAAGGGCTCAGCTCCATAAAGTTATTTAAACATCAAACCATTAGGATTATACGCACATTCCCACTCAGTCTTAATCTCAGCACTAGATGGAGGTGAGCTCTTAGCTTCACGCCCTAGGCCCTTTAACCCCAAGGAGAAGACCTACCGTTGTCCTTTGGAATGGAAGCTGGGTGTGTTTCAGAGCCGGTCTGCGTCACAACAAGAGAAATATTTGAATGTGAATACCGCTGTCGCAATACAGGGTGAGCAATCGCGCATCAAGCCGCACTCCACATATCGCCCAAATTCACGTGTGGATTGAATTTGCCACGTCCCTGGGGATATCACCCGCGGCGCCGTTAACACTATTCTTACTTACCAGAGACCCAGCTGCCGTTGAAGCGTAGCGGCGTAAATTCATGCCCCAGTATGTCCTGGAGCTTGAAGCGGTGACCTTTGACCCTAGGGCCATCATCTGGCGGTGTGAGGAGCACGACTGACGTCACGATCAATGCCAGCACGATCACAATGACGAGCAAAGCGATCAGGATTCCGCGCCAGTTGCGCTGGTTAGGGTTGCTGGACACCAACTCCTGACAGAAGGGAAAATCTATCAGGCATGTACACACTGTGATTCATGACTATTGCTCATCAATATACAGGGCGAGTCTAAATTATTGTAGGGTTTTCCGTGGCCTATAATTTTCAAACCTTACTTGCAACGGAGGGCGTGCATGTTGAAGCTCAGTTCTTTAGTATTGATTCCAAATGTAATAAAACTTTTTGGGTTACAGTTTTATATTCCGTAAGCAGTTTTATTGTATGTCTTCCGGCTTGAAAATTATAGGCCATGGAAACCTCGACAGTAATTTAGAATCACTCTGTACATACAAAAGGTTTGTGTGAGACTTATCAATGTCGTTATGCAAATTCGGTTTCCCATAGCAATGAACTATCACAAATGTAAGAGCTGAGGTCTTCACGGCGGTGACTATGAACAAAGCAGTCTTCTGGAATGTGGCGGCGTGTAGATCTTGTGTGAACCGACGTTTCGGAGGAACGTATCGCCTCCATCTTCATGGTAGAAGATGGAGGCGATACGTTCTTCCGAAACGTCAGTTAACACAATATATACATGGTGCCACATCCAAGAATAATGTTTTCTTCAACTATCACAGAGTTAACACCTTGCATGTAAGTAAATTTTGCAGTAAGTCATGAACGAAAGAGAAAACCCGTGTTTCAGAGTATCGTGTGTATTCTGTGCACACTGAAAATACTTAGATGTTGACATGTATTGTGTAGTGTACAGTCTGTAATGGAGACGGTTTATGCTTGATTATTTGCGCGAAATGTTCGTGGTAAATGACGTTAAACGTCGGTCTGGACATGACATTCGATAAAATGTGGAACTGGGAAAGAATATGAGAGAAAGATGGGAAATTGCGGGAGCTGCTACAACACTGTGGTAGCAGAATTCGAGTGGTCGACACTACTAACACCAATTCCCCAGTTTGACTTTATCCTTCCATCTCCAGCTGTCGCAACCGCTCTGCTTAAGGTGCCCTCAGCTCCGTCTTGCTATCATGTCAGAGTCAGAGTTAGAGCTATTTTACGACTGGCGGTTTACCGCCAATCAGTTCGCCTTGGTGCCAAGCCAATTGAGACTCACGACCAGTATTTTTTTCAACTGAACCCCCGCGGTCCTAGCTCTTATGTACCGTTCTCTCTGATGAGAGGATGGGTCTGTCGCTTACAATTGTTGCTGGCCCTTGCCAGCGCAGTCATTCTCTGGTCCGAGTCCGGCGGGACTAATGACCATATTTTGCTATCAGATTCGAGACTCTACCAACCTGGAGGGCCAAGTCCCCGTATTTATATCCCCCAGGGACAGGGTGGCCCAGTTATACCCCTAGGCACAGTCATTGGGTTTCCTTATTATGGGTATGTGTTCCTGTCATAAGTTCTGTCGTAGAGAGCCGATAAGGGGTACTCAATCAAACTGAAAGCTTGGAGTTAGGTTAGCACTTAAAAGTATTGTCAGCTGTAGGGGTTGTTCGTAACTTATAAGACGGGGTTTTGGTTTGGATGATTGGATTTAACTGACACCTTATAGACAACTCGGGACTACAGACAGTTACAGCGCTATTGTTAATCTACACACTTTACAGTTCACCGTTACACAAGCACTAAGATTCCCAATCATCACTAGTCGCATACTGGCAACGGACTTATAACAGTCTCACTCATTTCAAACAACTCATGGAGTCTTATTTTCATAGTCTAATTCATTTCTTGACATTTTTTATCAATCAGCTTCGACTGGCATCTCCAGAAATGGGCCCAGTTCTCGAAGACAACTCACTCAAATGAACTCTTCTTCAACTGAACTATCTCAGCTTCTGACAACCTCTTGTTATATATCCTCAGGACGGACCCCACTGAAAACACCGTCTTCTATTTTCCCGAAATGTTTTAGGCGTGTTAACTGAACCGCTGCCTAGCAATAAACGTCACATTCTTGTGCGCGTTGGCTCCCGCAAGAATGTGTTTACCAAGTCGTTGCCTTGCAATGGGTCTACACGTCACAGTATTCATAACTATCTGTGTGTGTGTTATGTACCAATGTGGTTCATTAGAGGACCAACAGTGAGAGCTCCCAGTGCTTCAGGTTGTATTGCAGCCTCGAAATTTGCCGACAGATGTTACAAAAACACGTATTTGCACGCATATACACGTACTTATAGTGAAACTGAGGGCCGCGCCATAGCTCAAAGCGGTTAGTCGCTGGCTTCCCACCGCGGCGACCCGGATTCGATCCTGGGTCTGGTCAAGTGGGATTTGTGGTGGACAAAGTGGCTCTGAGACAGGTTTTCTCCAAGTACTTCGGTTTCCCCTGCCAATCTTCATTCCACCAATTGCTTCACAATCACCCTCACCTATCATCTGGGGCTGGTACAATAGGCCAGAAGTGGCCGCAGTACAAGGCACTTAGTCCCACCCCACTGTGCCTCAATGACTACACGATGCAACAGTGTGTCGATAGTGAAACTCAGGGTAGAGTTAACTGGAAACGGGAACTGTTTAATTTTCATTTTGAATTTGAAGTGGATATTTGACTGAATTGTACATGTAACCTTCTGATATACGTGTATAATGGCATGTATACAGGTAGTAGTTGACGTTTCGTAGGAAAATACAGCTTCCATCTTCAGTGTCAAAGAGTAAGATAAGAAATCGTCAACAAGAAACAAGCAGAGCTGTTTCCGGAGTACACAGGATTTTATCGTAGAATATACTACCCTTTATCGCTGATGGCGGGAGAACCTCAGATCCGAAACGTCGGTAGTTACTGGTTATGGTGGCAGTTATGAGGACGAGTTTCTAGAGGCGAGTGGGCGCTTTGCAGCACCGCCAATCACTACTGAACCTGCAGTAAATTTGTGTTGCGCTGCCAAGTGGCATGTCTCAATTCTCCCTATATCACCCACTTCTCACATCTTCCGAAACTGTAGGCAAACACAAGTACACCTCAGACTCGAGGCTTAACGAACTTCCGAAAACGGAACACAAGAACTCATCATGGCGCCGGACGGATAAATTTGCATCCCTGGAGCTTAAGGATCAGGCACATTTTCGTGTACTTTAACATCTTTTATAAAATCAGGAATGGGGTAACATAGCATCAAACTATTAACTATTAATATTTTCTGAGAAGTAGTGGGTCCATGGACGGGGGCCCACTCAGCCTCACGAGAATAACTGAGGAGTTATTTCAAGGAAATAGCGGCTCTGGTCTAGAAAACCGAAATTTGTTGCGCTAACCATACGACACCCTCTATCCGCTAAAGTTGACACTAACTTCGCCGACAAGCGACGGTAGCTCGGTCGGTATAGTTCGCTTGCGGATTAAAGCCAAGGAGTTTAGTTTTAGTTTTACTGGTTAGATGCCAAGATTTCAGTTTCTAATCTCTCGGAACCAGGACAACTTCACCGAGTTCAGGATCCCTTTGCAAGCACACAAACCACACTACGTGAAAACTCGTCTGTCTAGTCGAGTCGGGTCCCGCCGAGTGGCGTGAATAATCCCGCTTCTTGGTAGCTGTGCTTGAATTCTGTATCGCTGTATTTCTAATAATAGGTATTACACATCAAAGACCCCCTCCATAAATATTCTCTCCTTTGTTCTTTTTAGTCGAGTTCGGGTCAGTTCACCGATAACCATCCCAGCGAGCAGGGCTGGAGACCACCCGAGGCTAGGAAATCAATTACGGCAGGAGCTCGACCGACCTGGCCTCATCTCGATTATCATTGGTTCTGGTTGTTGTGGAGGGAGTGACACGGAGCAGAGGAGTAGCCAAATTCATCGGCACAGAGTGTAGTAAATCAGTGAATCACCAGAGAGTGTTCCCCACCCACAAATATTCGCTCTCCCTCGTTTTGTGACTTGAAGCGAAACCTCACTCAAACAAAAGTAAACATCTTGGAGAACTGGTCGGTAAGGAAAGAGGCTGGCTTGATAAATGCTGCAACTGAGGTTCTCAATATAAAGAGTACTACTTTCTTTTATCCGGTAGAAGTTTACCGACGTTTCGGAGGAACGTATTACCTCCATATACAAGGTCGAGACCAGCAACAATCTGCTGTCTGCTTCCTACTTTCACCGCTTCCTTCAATTACTCTTCCGCCCTGAAGATGGAGGTAGAATATTCCATTGATAAACTTGTGTGAACTTAACAGCGTCATGTACTAGAGAAATATGGGCGGATTCCTTGTATTTCTTGCGTGCAAGCCAAAATATTGTGCGGCCTTTTTCATGCTAATATTGGTCTAATTTTGATTTTTCAAGTAGATTACGGGTCAAGTTATATTTGTACCTGTGATTTGTAGCTAACTTGCAGGAGACACAGAGGAAAACTCCAAAGAACATTCCGGAGTTTCGTAAGGGATTCGATCCGAATACCGCCCGAAAACGAGTGTACAATATTAGGGCTCAATCAAACGTCTTGGTGGAAAGCTCTGTTTACACACCCAACTGCATCCCACAAAACGCCAGTCTAAAAGGGCACAAAACACGTTATAAGCGTACAATTCGTAGAACGCTCACTTGAGCAACAACATTCACGTGAACCTATACACAAACATTCCCATGGAGGTAAGACTCCTCGAAATATTTCTGCTAGAACGTCACCAACGTTTCGGAGCAGCATACCGCCTCATTCTTCAGAGGTTTTCTGCTTCTATCCTGAAGAAGTGTGCAAAAGTTCATCCCGGTAAAGTTCTACCAGACTATACGGCGTCACAATCTTCAGAAGAACGTCGTCTTTCGCTAAGCTACCTCGAATCTCCCATATCGGGAACGTGGTATGTACTTAGTGTTACCGCGACTACTCTCACTTCATATCTGTGTCCTTCTTCATGGTTTCACCAGGCATGCATAAGCAACGAATGTGTCAAAAGCACTGACAGAGTTTAACATTTAATTCATATTTCATATCCTTTTCAATCCGCTTTCTGTTCTTTTCGAACACGGAATCTCGTACATGAAATAGAACTTGCACGTGACGCTTTCTGATTATTGCCCAGTGACCCG